TTGATGCTATTAGAAGTAAAGAAAAATTTGAGTATTTTGATAAATGTTTTAAAGCAAATCAACATGATTTGAAAAAGACTTGGAAACTGATAAACGGTTTACTAGGTAGGAAGAGATCAAACAGATTACTAGTTTTTCCTAATCAAGATGCAGCGCATAATTTTAATTATTATTTTGTTAATATTGCTAATGATCTTTTACTAAAAACGTATGGTGAAAATGCTAACGCGGATTTAACAGATTTTAATAAATATATGCCTGAGAGGAACATAAGCGAGCTATCGGATATTAATTTTTCAAGTGAAGAAATAAATAATATTATAAGTAAGCTTAATAATAGCAAGGGTACGTATTATTCTCCTAGGGTCCTCAAACTTTTAGCTACCACTTTAAGTCCTTTACTGGCTGATATTTTTAATAAATGTGCAAATGAAGGTTATTTTCCGAAAGAATTAAAAGCAGCAAAAATAATTCCTTTGTATAAGAATAAAGGATCTATTTCTGATATAAGCAATTATCGTCCTATTTCAATGTTACCTGTTTTTGCTAAGATTTTCGAGAAGTTAATACATAAAAACGTATCTGATTTCTTTAATAAGCACAATCTTTTCTGTGATAATCAGTTTGGTTTCCGCAGTAAGCACTCAACCTTTCATGCACTTGTTTCAGCAGTAGAAAATCTTCATGATGCTATCGATAATAAGAATTTTACATTAGGTATATTTATAGATTTTTCCAAAGCTTTCGATACAGTGCGGCATAATATCTTGTTAGAAAAGCTGGAGAACTATGGTATTCGAGGAAATGTCATTAAATTATTAAACAGTTATTTATCAGATCGGTTTCAGTATGTTAGCTATGGGGGATTCGAAAGTTGTCTCTTGAAAATAACCTGTGGTATTCCACAGGGGTCAGTGTTAGGCCCCCTGCTCTTCATTATTTTTATCAATGATTTGGCAAATATTTGTGAGTTAGCTAAATTTATCCTCTTTGCAGATGATTTAAACCTTTTTCTTCAAAATAAAGACCGAAATTTACTCTACAAAAATGCTAATGAGGTATTATCAAAGATTCACGACTATTGCTGCTTAAATAGGTTAATCATTAATTTTGAAAAATGCTGTTTTATGGAATTCGGAAGTAGTAAAGTTCCTAAGAATCAAAAGTTTGTTGGAATACTTAACAACCAGTTTAATCAAGTGAATAAGTGTAAATTTTTGGGAGTCATTATTAATTCTAATTTAACGTGGAATGATCATATTACCAATGTAATAACGCAAGTTTCAAAATCTTGCGGATCACTCTACTCCATAAGTTCTATAGTACCAGCCAAAGTGTTAAGACAAGTATATATTTCACTTGTTCAACCATATTTAATGTATTGTATACCACTGTGGGGTGCTGTTTTTCACCATCCTTTGCTGCAAAAACTGTTTGTGTTGCAGAAAAAATGTATTCGTATTGTGAGTAGAAAAACAACAAAGATTGATCACAAGTTTCAACATACAGTTACAATCTTTTATATCAGTTACAATCTTTTATTCAGTTACAATCTTTTATTCTAGCTTTTGCAACATTTTAATTGCTCTCTTATCGGTAGTGTTATCTCAACTTGCTGTTACACCGACACGTCGTGCTGTACGCCTTGGCTTTTGTAAAATGGATTTTTCCGTCGAACATCTGAACAGATTTGAAAAGGAGCTATCGTCAGCGATGAATGAGATTTTGAAGATGTCAAAAGCACAAAGCGTTACAGAACTGAATCATTCGAGATTAATGGCTGTAAATAAAGATCCCTTGGCTACTGCAGTTGAAAATCTTTCTAAGCTAATGACTAGTAATCTTGAACTTTGTAAATGTGCAGCCAGTACGATAGACAAACTTAAATCAGATCAGCTGAACTATCAGAAAGACCAGATTAAACAGCAACAGGAGCAACTCGACTCTTTTAAAACAACTGTTCATACCGAGATGAAGACAGCGTGGAGCGATATCGTGAAGAAGAACTGCGAGACAACTACAAGTACTCCGTCGATCAACAGTATAAAAACAGCTGTGAAAACCGTAGTTGAAGACGACATCCGTAGTAAGAATTTCATTATCTACGGTGTACCGGAGAATTATTCCCCTGATCCACACTTAGTGGCAGAAGAAGTGATCGAATTGATTTGGGAATCCTCAGGGTGTGATCCTAAAGTTGTGGCAGCAAATTCTATCGGGACTAAAATAACTTCAGGCAGTGGTAAACCGAGACCAATAAAAGTGACATTGGCTTGCGCGGAATCAGTAAAAATGGTTCTTGCTCGAGCAAGAAATCTGAAGAAATCTAAATGTACAGCGTACCACACATGGTACATCACACCTGATAGAAGCAAGGAGGAGAGAGCAGCTCATCAGAAACTTGTTGTCAAAGTAAAGGAAATGATCACTGATGAGCCAAAAAAGTATCATTATATTAGAGACGGCAAGATTTTCAGTGTAGATAAGGTTAAGGTGTAACATTCGGTGTTTTTGATATCTACATAATTACTTTGATTTAAATGTGTGTATGGCTCTTATTTATGGCTGTTGCGTGTATTTGTTGATTACGGCTAATAACGAGGAACTTTTAATTGTGAGTTAATAAACTGCAACCGTGATTGTAACTCAGGTATGTGATGACTTGTGGAGCACACATCGCTGAATAGCAATCGCGAAGCAGGTCTCACCAAGGCTAGGTATATTTAGGGTTTTTATTTTTCTGAGGACACTTTGCCAGTAGTTTAACTTTTTGTGTTGTGTGCTACGGTACAGTGTTTCAATTTTTGGATAAAGTGGTATGTTCTATCTTTCTATTTATTTATCTAATTCTAATGTAATATTTCAATATTATAGTAAACATTAACCAGTGTACCAAAAGCTGGTCCCCAAACAAACAAACATACGAAACCAATGTTCTTTCGTTTGAAATTATTAACCTTGTTTAACTTATTTACATACTTTACTGGATGTATTGCAATGAGGCTACTTAAAGAACAAATTCCTGTTGATGTTTATCGCCGGTTTAGCAAGTCAAGTAGATCATGCAGACTGCTATATCCTAAATTCTCAATGTCTAAGACCAAGAATAGTAATTTTGTTTTTAATGCATCCAAAATTTTAAATTATCTCCTTGATCATGATGTACCGTATCATATTTTGTCAATTTCACTATTTAAAAAGAGATTTAAGAACCATTTGCTTCATATACAAAACCTAGGGCTAAATGGGGATCATGGATGGCTACCATGTAATCACGATATCTTCTCGAATGTATCAATTTCATAAAATAAGTTAATTTCAACTAGGGAAATATAAATTGAAGTTAATGTTTTGGGGACGTTTGTGTGTTTTTTGTGTGTATTTTATTGTGAGTATTTAAAACAAGATGGGGACTATAATTGTAACGGTTTAAGTGTATACGTCTTTATTAATGTTGCCTCCGATTTCACTACACTGACAACATTCACTTTTTATTTTTTGTGTTATTTTTTACTTGAGATCTCATATCATAAAATTTTACCATCGCGATACGGGTATTAATTTACCTCCCAGCGGTGAGACACCGCTTCCCTCCATCGCCATGTTTGAAGCTCTCCCATCATCTGTTCTACTTCAGAGGGAAGTGACTTATTTTATATTTTAAAATTGTTATTATTCCGGTATAACAAATACATTTTCTAATCGTGTAATCGTGTTTATTTAGAACTTTTAACTTCCGTATCTGTCTCATATTCGCTCGAGAGTAGTATGGTTAACATGAACAGCAATGTCCAATGTCCATTGTGAGCATGTTATAAAACAACAACAAAATAATGAAGAATATGGTAAACTTAGTCTGGTTAAAAACGTGGTAGTTTTTATTTAGCTAAGCTTACCTGATAATGTCTGAGTTTGTAGTTTGATAACACATGATCTTTAACAATACAGCTAATACCTTGATGCCTTGACCCTTGGCCCCCCTGTCAGCAACTGTCAGCATTGAGCCCCCCCCCCTATTGTCAGCATTTGCCACTCACCCCCCCCCCCCCCCCTTCTTAATACGTACTCCCTTCTGTTAGCCAGGGAATGTGTTTTGAAATGCTGACGGGGGTGTAGGCAGGGAAAATTGATGTGTGACTTATTTGTACAGTTGGTCATCAGAGTTCAGTTCACCGAATTTCTGCTGACGTCAACAAGGCTCGGACCCCCTCCACCGTCAGCAGCCGTCAGCATTTTCAAACTCCTCCTCCCCCTTCGCTGCTGACGTCATATTATGTGAATGCTGCCACCTGTTCACAAACCAGTACTACATTTGATCCGACTGGGACTCATAAATTAAAGCCCCAATTTGCTTTCACTCTGATTTATCGTACCGCTGTCCTTTCCCTAAATGTTACCTGGTTGCAATGTGTAAGTAAATACCAGCAAGCCCTTTCTTTAATTGACCTCTACAAAACCTTAATTATCATCAGTGAACTGATGATTTTAGTGAAAAAATGAACATGTATATCCAGTGCAGTAGTCAATGAAACAAGAAATTTCAATGAAACAAGAAATTTAATTTTAGCACATTTTTACAGAACAAAAAGATGTAAAACAATTCATAAAATATAATGCCCATTTGGTGTATGCCTTTTTGTCCTGACTGCTAGTTTGGTTTAAGAAGGACAGGTAACTAACGGGGCAAGGAATGCGCGTGCCTGGAAGCTTTTGCACACACCGAAACGCTAGTTCAGTCACTGTATGAGTTTTTAGTAGAACTTAATTTGTAGGTAATTCATATTTCTCTCTCATGTGACAGCAATAACCAAGCAGCAGCCAATCAAATTTAAACCTCAGAATCACTTTAATCAGTCAAAACTAATACATTGCTCACCTCCCACTATTTCCCTAATTGATGTTGAGAATGGAAAACACCAACAAATTTATTATCAACATAAACATCGATTTGTACTTAACATCATATATCATTGCATTGTTCTTATTGAAAGTTTTCAAAAAGGTTTGAATGTCAGCAACCTCGACAAAGACCCATTCTGCGTCCAGCAAGTCAAGCCGACGTGTAGCTTTCGCAGATGCTGTCTCGGATCACAATTCTGGTGTAGGGACTGAACTTGAAAGTCGGGTTAGTCTTTAATAGTGGTTTAGAACATTTATGGATACATAACAACACTATAGTAATATGATGACCTGATTTACAATCGTTTACTCTCAATTGATTGATGATCATGGATCATCTTATGATTTGTTTTCAGAATGAGAGTGTTCTTGATTTAGCAGACATGGATCCAGGGGACCAGGTAGTACTGGACATGGCCGACCACCCTCCAGCTCCCACAACTGCAGCTAGTGATGGTCTGGAGTCTGCTTTAACCATCTATACTCCTGGTATGTTAACTTGTGCAATCATTTCAAAAACGGGTAATCATTTGGGTTGGGAGCCGGAAATGTGTGAACTGTGATTGAAGTTGTGATTTCTTCTATCACTACGAATTGCTAGTTGTATAATGATTTGAATATAGTGCTGTATTTAACCAGGTGATGAGATGGTGCACATTCCTCAACTAGGAGGATTGAGAAGGGAGAGTTGTGAGTGGACTAACACTAACCTGCCTTGTATCAACAAGGTATACCTTCAAACACTTGCTTTATTTACCACAATACTCATCCAGTTCCTCCGGCAGATGTTTAATGATGTACCAACCAGCTTTATGTCCAAAAACCGGATTTGAAAAGATAAGTTTTATTTTTCGAAATAAATTTAGCATCTGATTACAGCATGTAATTTCAGGTAGCTGCCCATCTAGCAGCATTACAGCGTCAGCTGGAAGTACCCCGAGAGTTGACGTACGATGAAATGGGGAGATTGGAGAACATGGTCGGCCCTACTCCTGGCATGGTTAACTCCATCAAAGTCACCTCTCTTACTTCCAATCCGGTATGTTACTCTCTCCTTGAATTACTCAGATTATCTCGAATATAACTTGTGGTTTAACTTCTGAATGATCGACAATTTATTTATTTAATGTTACATATAACTGGAATTACATTTTTTTTCCTTTTCGTTATTTGTCACAAAATAAACCAGAAATATAGATCTAGGTAGTAGAAGCTGTAAACGATTTCAAACGGTGTATTGAACAATTCCATAGCTTTAAAATGTTTACTCAAAAACAGCAAAGATCAAATTTGACGCTGGTCAGTTATAGTGCTATGTTAAATCCATAAAATATCCTTTTTCTTCAGTTAAATGGAATTCTTTAAAATCATGTCTGTTATTACAAGTATCAACTATCAAGTCTATCAAAACATTTAAAAGTTCGTACATAAGTAAATAAACCTAGATACCATCAGTGGTATCAGAGTGAAGGGAAGACACCACTTGATTTAATCTGCTCCTAAGAAAACGCCTGAAACTCCTCACCGTAACGCTGTATATAAAAACATTTGATGTGATGCTGAACCAGAGGAATGTCCAAGCTATTCTGTAGAAAGTTATTAAAGCTGGATCACTTCCCCCTATACTGTCTTGTAGAAGGTGAAACACGATGTAAGGCATGGTAGAGATAGAGTAGATAGTGGCCGTCAGTATTACAGTGATAATACCCTGTACTGGGGCAGTTCCACCGCATCTTTTGGCAACTTTCTTAGCTTCGAGAAGGTGTTTTACTAAAACGGTAGTACAAAAGATGATGCTAAGATTTGGAAAAAGAATGAAAATGACGTTGGAACCGATTACTAACCAAGTCAAACGGTTAGCAAAACTAAAGTCGCAGGTGTAAATTCGGTAGTCGAACAGAATGCCTTCTCTTCCAAAACTGAGAAAAATGGCAGAAATAAGCAAAGCAAATAACCAAATTCCGGCACATACCACTTGGGCTTGTTTCCTTGACAAATATCTGGTTTTGGCAGGATACTTTAACAGCAGCACTTTACAGATCGTCATAGCGCAAATAAATAAAAAGCCTACAAGGAATGCACAGTGGGGGGAATGCAACGTCAATTAATGTCAGTATTCCATGAAAACCCCAAACTGACATTGACATTAATTGACATTAATTGACATTATTTGACATTAATTGACATTAATTGACATTAATTGACATTAATTGACATTAATTGACATTAATTGACATTAATTTGTCTTGAAATTTGAGATTATCATTATTCGATAAATATTCAAGATATTCACGTCTATGTAAGTTAGACCGGTTCAAAAAAACAAAATGTCCTTGAATAATTATGAGTATATAATCAAGAGGCTTACATATGAACATATTGACATGGCTGTAGAGTTGAGCCTGTACGGAACCTAGTAGTTTCAGTTCCTTGTTTAACTTGCCGTACAGCAAGGACATTCACTACTTTAGCCCGGCGAGGCACATAGCTCACTCCACAACTCCGTGTCAAATGTTTCATATATACTAGCCAAGAACACAAGATATATCCTTGTGTGTTTGGGAAGCGCTCATTACCGGTCATTACATCATTACTGATGCAGTCAGGCAGAACTGCTTCCTATCCCTTCAGTTTCCCACAGTCTCTCGAGCTTCGTAACTGCCAGAGAAGTCTCTTAAACAATTACTAGACCCGGTGATTATATAATCAAGAGGCTTATGTTCTTATCTGTTGATCCTTAGGTTCAAAGACCACAACAAAAAATTTCAGCTTCCAACTCTTCCATCTTCGGTCTCCACCGGCCACGCCCATATTTTATTGGTTTCTTATACAGGTAAAATATCTAGAATCGGCTTTTTTAGTATGAAGGAGTAATGTTAGCTGTTTAAGATTCGTTATTCAAATATAGGGGGGGGTGTCACGTCCGTCTATGTCCGCTTGTCTCATAGAATCCAAAAAGGACAGGACATAGGCGGACATAGGCGGACATAGGCGGACATAGGCGGACATAGACGGACATAGGCGGACATAGGCGGACATAGGCGGACATAGGCGGACATAGGTGGACATTAATGGACACCTAAATTGCTAAATAAAATGTTCAATTTTTGCTGTTATAGGGGGATCATGTTTTTTGTCCGTTTGGTACCCTATATTTTCAAAACGGACAAAAAATAGAGCGGACAAAAACGGACAAAAATGGACAAAAACGGACAAAAATGGAAATAATCCTACTCTTCCTCCTCCTCCCCCTGGGTCTTCCTGATCTTCCTCAGTCCTCTTCCTCCTCCCCTCCTCAGTCCTCCTCCTCGTCCTCAGTCCTCCTCATCAGTCCTCAACAGTCCTCCTCCTCCTGAGTCCTCCTCCTCCTCCTGAGTCCTCCTCCTGGGTCCTCCTCCTGGGTCCTCCTCCTCCTCTTCATCCTCCTCCTCTTCCTCCTCAGTCCTCAGTCCTCCTCCTCATCCTTCTCCTCAGTCCTCCTCCTCCTGGGTCCTCCTCCTTATCCTTCTCATCAGTCCTCCTCCTCCCCAGTCCTCTCCCAGTCCCCCTCCTTCTCCTCCTCCTATTCAGTCCTCCTCCTCCTCAGTTCTCCTCAGTCCTCTTTCTCATTTCTCATAAGTCCTCCTCCTGAGTCCTCCTCCTCCCTCTCAGTCATCTTCCTCAGTCATCCTCCTCAGCCATCCTCCCCAGCCATCCTCCTCAGCCATCCTCCTCAGTACTCCTCAGTCCTCCTCCTTCTCAGTCATCGTCAGTCCTCCTCCTCAGTCCTCCTCCTCCTCCTCCTGGGTCCTCCTCCTCCTCCTCCTCCTGGGTCCTCCTGGGTCTTCCTGATCCTCCCCAGTCCTCTTCCTCCTCCCCTCCTCAGTCCTCCTCCTACTCCTCCTCCTCGTCCTCATTCCTCCTCATCAGTCCTCAACAGTTCTCCTCCTCCCCAGTCCTCCTCCTCCTCCTGGGCCTTTTCCTGGGTCCTCCTCCTGGGTCCTCCTCCTCCTGGGTCCTCCTTCTCCTCCTCAGTCCTTCTCCTCCTCCTCCTCAGTCCTCTTCCTCCTCTTCCTCCTCCTCCTCCCTCTCAGTCATCCTCCTCAGCCATCCTCCTCAGTCCTCCTCCTTCTCAGTCCTCCTCCGATCCTGAGTCCTCCTCCTCCTAAGTCATCCTCCTCAGTTCTCCTCCTTCTCCTTCTAGGTCCTCCTTCTGGGTCCTCCTCCTCTTGGGTCTTCCTGATCCTTCTCCTCCCTCTCAGTCATCCTCCTCAGTCATCCTCCTCAGTCATCCTCTTCAGCCATCCTCCTCAGCCATCCTTCTCAGCCATCCTCCTCAGTACTCTTCAGTACTCTTCAGTACTCTTCAGTCCTCAAAATGTTTGTCCGCTAATGTCCATCAATGTCCGCTAATGTTCACCAATGTCCATCCAAGTCCGCCAATGTCCGTCCGGGTCCGCCAATGTCCGTCCGAGTCCGCCAATGTCCGTCCGAGTCCGCCAATGTCCGTCCGAGTCCGCCAATGTCCGTCCGTGTCCGCCTATGTCCTCCTCCTACTCCTCCTCCTCGTCCTCATTCCTCCTCATCAGTCCTCAACAGTTCTCCTCCTCCCCAGTCCTCCTCCTCCTCCTGCGGCCTTTTCCTGGGTCCTCCTCCTGGGTCCTCCTCCTCCTGGGTCCTCCTCCTGGGTCCTCCTTCTCCTCCTCAGTCCTTCTCCTCCTCCCCCTCAGTCCTCTTCCTCCTCTTCCTCCTCCTCCTCCCTCTCAGTCATCCTCCTCAGCCATCCTCCTCAGTCCTCCTCCTTCTCAGTCCTCCTCCGATCCTGAGTCCTCCTCCTCCTCAGTCATCCTCCTCAGTTCTCCTCCTTCTCCTTCTAGGTCCTCCTTCTGGGTCCTCCTCCTCTTGGGTCTTCCTGATCCTTCTCCTCCCTCTCAGTCATCCTCCTCAGTCATCCTCCTCAGTCATCCTCCTCAGCCATCCTCCTCAGCCATCCTTCTCAGCCATCCTCCTCAGTACTCTTCAGTACTCTTCAGTACTCTTCAGTACTCTTCAGTCCTCAAAATGTTTGTCCGCTAATGTCCACCAATGTCCGCTAATGTTCACCAATGTCCATCCAAGTCCGCCAATGTCCGTCCGGGTCCGCCAATGTCCATCCGAGTCCGCCAATGTCCGTCCGAGTCCGCCAATGTCCGTCCGAGTCCGCCAATGTCCGTCCGTGTCCGCCTATGTCCCAAAAAACACGTCCGTTGTCTCATAGAATCCAAAAAGGACAGGACATAGGCGGACATAGACGGACATGACACCCCCCCCCCAATATAAATGTCATGAAAGCATTTCGTTTAATGTGGGTTTTAAGTTCTGATGATGTTGAGAACCACGCCCTTGGATGGCCACGGCCATTTAAGAAAATTAAATTTCGGAAAACCGTATTATTTTAGTTTTATTGTTTAATCTTTTGATGATCTACATTTTTTTCACATTTCACATTTCTATATGTGATAGTAGTGAATAAATTGATGATATAAACGTTCTAAAGTGCTAAAAATATGGTAGAACTACATAATCTCTGGTCGAAAAATATCGTGTCAATTAATGTCAGTATTCCAAAATTTTGCAAAACTGACATTGACATTAATTGACATTAATTGACATTAATTGACATTAATTGACATTAATTGACATTAATTGACATTAATTGACATTAATTGACATTAATTGACATTAATTGACGTTGCATTCCCCCCTGCACAGTAGCTCATGAAAACCCTAATGGTACACAAATGAAGCCCAAAGACCCATTTATTTGCTATGAGAGATGTTATAGATGGGAACAGGGAAAATACACACAGTATCAGATCAGAGGCAGCTATGTGTTCTATGAACACAACAAGGGTGCTATGAAGTTTGAAAGCTCTGTGCTTTACAGATCCAATAAGTATGGTACTGTCCCCGATTATAGAAGACATCAGGACCAAGATAAGCCATACCGCCCAAGTCTTCCTAGTTACAACGTCCTGGACTCCAAACATGGTGTAGTTGGAATAGTTGGCCATCTTGAATTTACCTGAGATTCTGAGGTGTGTGCAAATTATAAATAGTTTATAATTAGTTATTATATATCAGGACATTTTAATCGAACGAATAACTGAAAAGTTGATAAACGCGGTTATAAGAGACGAAGGTATTAGTCGTAAGTTTAAATTACCTTTTTGTATTGACTATTATATAATCAGCAAGAAAGCTTTCCGCTCAATTTAAAAAACGAAAATTAAGTATAACTGTATGTAGACACCTGATAGCGACATGTGCCAGTTGTGCCTCATACACAGGTGCATCATCTAGAGATACATGCATTCTTAGTTAAATATAATATTACAATTATATGCTTGAGTCATGAGTGGTAGCAACAACAGCATTTACAGCAACAGAAAGGTTCACAAATGAGAGAATTTTGCTGAAATTTACAGCAACAGAAAGGTTCGCAAATGACAGAATCTTGTTGACGTAATATGTGAACGGTCCCTAAACACAAAACACGTGAGTGCTGTAGCGACATTCAACAGGTGCCTCACAGAGATACAGAGTGCTTAGTTAGACGTAAGAATTCTAGAAAATTAAGTAAATAAATTAGATTTTTTGCAACATTAGACTTGTCTGGTATTTCAGACCAGTGCGACCCGACCCGGACCATAGTTTTTTAATTAGGATAGTGCCAGGTGATGTGGAACATGTAAGGTGTAAGCAACAATATTACAATAAGACCGAAAAAAGTTCACGACTTAATGAGATTGTTACGTTGTAGATCCTCATGGTTTGTTTCATAAACAATTGAAACAATGTTGTTGAGTAATAGCGTTAGACTGTGAACTCCATGCTACAGTGCAATAGGTTTTAGTACTATCGTGGTCCCATTTCAACCTCTACACAATAATGAAACGTGACAGCTCTGGACAATATATGTGTGATATTGTAACCTTGCTAAAGAAAAGTCAGCAGAAGTTGTAATATTCAACAATTTGGTCCTCGAACAGTTGGCTCAACACAACAGTGGTTTGTAGAAAACAAGGTTCATAACATTTGGCCTCATCTGTACCAGCTATTTGACCAGGTTTTACTATGGTAATAGCTAGAAAAATTACTGCATGCAGTTATGTCCATGAACCTGTGTATGAATATTATAATGACTGAGATATTGACCAACCACTTAGCTTATATTAAGTAAAGTGACATTCACTTAGCCCCTACAACCCCGCCTGCCTAAACCTTAAGTACCAAACAATGTTTTAAATCCCCCCATTAACCACAGCTGACCGTACACAGGGACTAGAAGTAGTGGACGAAGTAAAGACGCTGATAGCGCGGCTGGAACAGGACAGACAACAGACCATCAGGGCCTATCAGAGAGAGGTAGAGCGAGTCAAACTCCTCCAAGTTCAGGTGGACAAGGTGGAGAGACGGAGACTTTATATTTTACCTAAAGCTGTGCAACTTGGTGAGCTTGTCATGGCTTTGACGATGGTTTCAATGTTATCATTTTGTTTTCTCACGTTGCCGGCCAATTAGCTATCCTGTGACTGAGCGTTTTATGATGTTGGGGTCACCTAGTTTATTTTTTATCTACCGCATGGCATATGAGGTGAATGTTTGTCATGTTTTCAGGACAGTTCCTCAAGACATGACAAACAGTTCAACAAGTGACATGACTATTTAATGAGAAGGAATTATTCTCATTAAATTATCATGTCATGACGTGTCCAACTGCTAATATAATAAGCTGCTTAAATTTATAATTTACGTTTATCATAAATACTATAAGTAATAATATAAGTGAGTTTTTCTGTCACTGAGTAAGATGGGATATTATTTGGTTTCAAAGTTTTTTATTTATCAGCTGTCGAAAAAAGATTTTAAAATTAAGTTACAATTTTTTTTGAAAATTCTTTGATTAAAAGTAGGTTTAGTTTTAAACCATCTCCATCTTCAGAACACGAAGCGTGTACACAAGATATCTCGGAATTAAGGTGGGATCTAGATAACTGGTTGGAAGAGAAGAAGGAGATGGAGAAGCAGGTTCTTGCTGCAGTAGATAAGAACAGAAACCTTCAGAGCTCTATCGAGGAGCTAACTGCACAGTGGTGAGATAGTTGTGTAAACTTTTAGAGGGGCCAGTTATTATCGTTCTCGATAATAATTATTTATAGCGATTTCCCCCCGATTTGGCAGCATAAAGTAAATGGGGGCTGGGCCGCCAAATATTGAAACTTATAATAATTTTCCGTCCTAAATCATGTTTTTCCTGTTTTATGAAATTATATCCATTATCCATGATACCTCTACATCAGTCCGAATATCAAAGAGAAACTTGAAATCGACAAGGAGTGTTTGGAGGGAATTTCAGCTGACCTCAAGGAGGTACCATATTATTATTATCAAGATTTTTTACTCAAATCAGAGTTCACTCAGATTGCATAATACGGAGATTTATTACCTCATTTCTGCTAGAAACATTCTCAATGAATTTGTCGAGTTATTTACATGTGTTTTTAATACCGATTTTCAGAGTAAGTTAGCACTGAAATATACTCAAGATTTATACGCCAAAGCTAGACTTAAGCTTAAAAAGGTAACGCAGATCTGTGATTTGCCCAATTTTGATTAATTTAATCGTATATTACTTGACTTGACCCGGAATTCAGGCAAAGGCACAGCTGGAATCAGTTCATGTTGAGATGAACGAAGCTAAGAATAAGTCCAGTTTGGTAGGCCATGCCTTGAGCATTTGTATACGTGTTGTCCAGAGTAATATTAGATACTTTGTGTACAAGTAGTAGAGACTCCATTTCAAGTTGGTGGTTGAGCTGAACATTGACTTTCTCCTGATATTTTTGTGGGTACTTTGACAAGAAACATTATTGAATACTGAATACTGTATAGTGATTAGTGATGCAGCTCTGTTTCAGCCACCAATTTGAAATGTGTCCATTATAGTATTTTGTGGGCGATGTAAGTGTTGTAACCTATGTTTGCTGTTACGTTTGAAATGTAGAATGCACTGAAGAGTTTGTGACTGAATTTTAGTTTAAAATATGGCGTTTTAAACTGTGTGCAAGTTATTTGCATGCCACAAGAGTTGAGTGGTGTAAGAATGTAAGCATGTTTAGAATTTGTCAATCTCGGCAGAGTTGACTGCAAAATACTAGCACAACCTGAGAATATTCAATTTTGCACGAATCGCATTGTTTTCAGGAGCCCAAAAGTAGACTCCAATAAAACTATAGATCTAATACAAAATGTTCAGTGCTTTTTGTAACGACTTCATCTCAAGGCGGACGGCAGAGCTGAGTCAGAGAGGATACAGTTAAGAAGTGAGCTGGCTAGCATCAGGAAGACATTGGCCGGAGTTCAGTAAGTGACAAGCATATCTTATACTTCTTGTTAATACCGGGGTTTAGCTCTCTCTTTCATGAACCACCTACAATAACATACACTCAGTCGTTTTGATGTCTGATCTTGAAGGATCATAAAACACTCCCTAGAGGTGAGCTGCAAGAGGCTGAAGATGTCAACGCTACACACAATGCTGACATAGAAGAGCTCAACAACGCGATAGATACTGCTAAGATGGATGGGAGCGTTCTTGGTTAGTTTTCTCATTACATGGCTATTGTCATCTTTTAAGGAATCATTCACTTTCCAAATCATAATTTTTAGATATTTAGGATAATGCACTAAATAATGTTGGTGACGTTGTTTTTTCTCGGCTGAAAATTAAACTAATGTTTTCAGACAGTGAAATAGCAGAAGCAAAGAAACAAGAGAGAGAATCTCAATCGAGGGTTTGTTTCTCAAGTTCACTAGGCATACCTAATAATTACAACACTTTTCACCTTAAATGTCATATTGCATATTACATATTATTACCACACATAAATAATGCGAATTTGCAGCGACTTTTGTGGAATAATCATCCATCTAGGTTCTCAGGGATAGTTTATCTTCTGAATCCGATATTTCTCAATTTAGGAAACAAGTTTCCATGAGTAAAATACTGTATTATATACTAGATATAATAGGTGACCGATTAATATTAGGAGATCGAGTTGCGCAAATCACCTCATCCAGATTATGCTTTGTAAGCAAAATTGTCGTGTTTTTTTGGTAAAAATTTGGTCCTGATCGGATTTTTGATAAGAATCATATATCAGTCAAAATGAAAAACAAAGTAATGTTAGAATATACGAAAAAATAATGTTGTATAGTTGTATGCTTTCCAGATCTTCCAAATTCGAAAGATTTGTTCAATCTTAGAAACAGACATGTATTTTACGAATTTAAACTGGCTTTACATTAAAACTGGCTTACAGTTGGAAAACTAAAAATAATCGTGAGTTAGACCAAACCCTCGTTAGGCCAATCATACAGTGCATATTAAAGTGTATTATGACACTTTGTGTTCACACAAGAGTAGTGATTTGGTTGACTAAAAATCCAATATCTAAGTTAAAACTAAGAGTTCCATATCAGTGAGGAAGATTCCAATACCACTTCTCGTCACCTAGCAGATCAACTAGGTCTCTGAGATAGGGTTTGAAGAACTTCTCAAGTAATTCAGTCGTTTCCGTGAGAACATAGGGAAGCTTCTTGTTATTACTCATCGCGTTTTTTATCTTATGCTGCTCCAAAATGGTTTGCAATTCGTCATCAGGAAATCGTGGTATCTCCAGGAAGTCACAGAGATTATTGTAAGTTGTGATCGGGTCCCGGATACGTTCCTCCATCTGGAGTATATAGATCTGATTCTTGGGAAACACCTTCATGTAGTCGAGAATATAGACATGGTAGATACTTGCATATAAATGGGTCGCTAGTTGGTGGGTTTCAGTGCTATAAGTGCATCCTCTCAAAGTGTTCACTTTCAGGCAGTTATTAAACTTATCAACCGCCTCCACCACCAAATTATGATATTTCTCCGGTGTAATGGGCCTGTCGCAGTTGTAGGTATAAATATGGGTACAGAAAAACTGGTACGCTGATTGCATCCGCTTTATGGGGTCCCGCAAGGAGAATATAAATTTGGTTTTAGGATTAAGTTTTGCAAGAGTGTCTGCGGTAGTCACTGGTGGCTCTTTGTAACCGGGGTGAAAAGTTTCCCAAAACTCGTTGTCCCATACGTGGGAGGGGGTAGCGTCCACAGTGATTCCGTGAAACAGGACATCTGTTCCTTCAAATTCTTTATATGTCTTCATCAATTTGTCTCGACATGGTCCGGAATTAGAATAACCCATAAATGACGTGGGATTTTTGTCGGGCATTCGGTGCATTCGAATTGACCTTCCCCTCCTTCCCCTGTCAAAGTAGTGTGTTTCTTTCTTGGATCGGGCGCTTATGAGGATATGTTCGTTGAGTATGAAGAATAAATCTGTCGTTCCAGCTTTTGTGAAACCGATGATGTAAAAGTAAGGTAAGCAAAACATGGCCTCCCGGTCAAGAAGATCATTTCCTTTCCAGCAGGGGTTCTTAAATTCTTTCAGAAATTCTTCTTCTGGTGGGAGAAAGGTGAACATGTCTTTAGGATTTTCTGTGATATGCTCTTTTTTCAGAGTTCTCCCGTTCAGGTAACAAAAAGTGTCATTACAGTTCATCTCGTTCGGATCACCGAATGTAGATTTCTTTGGTACTCCCCTTTTTAGCATCTCTACATTACTTGGTGCGTATTTTAGGAACTCAATTTTCTGGTGCTTTTCAGTAACGTTGAAGATATTTGTATCGTTAACTTCTTCTAATTGCTGAACGAATGTTTCGTAAGGAGTGTCGGACGTTTTGATTTCATTCTTCGTAAAAATGTTGGATGCTGATTTGGTGATCACGTCTCCCTCTACGTTCTGTCTGTCGCTAGGTACAGTGTTCTTGTCGATCACAGCTCCTCGAGGTTGAGAAGTGAGAGTATCATCAATATCTAAGATTGTTCCAGTTCCATCTAGCTGTTCTGTGGAATCCTTAACATTGTCACGGACTTGATCTGTATTGTTGCTTAGAAATATGATATGGTCTTCAGTTGCACTTGAAATGTTTTTAAAGTTCTCAGTTTCTAACAACATCTTTATGAACTGGAAAGAAGCAATGAGGAGCAAGATCCAGACAACCTTACTTTTCAGCCCTCTGTGGGATATTACCATCTCCGAATCCTCTTCAGATGGTAAGGCACACCCAAACTCTGCAGGAATTATAGAGTAAGTCAATTTGGAGCTGGTGGAATAATTTAATTTAATTTAAGTTTTAAATGAAACTGAACCTCAGCAAATGTGGACAGTACAGCAAATAATTTCAATCACAAGTGTTTCCGCGGATCTTAAGCATGATATAATGAAGTGTACTGATCAGAGCATGCGTCGAGAAAACGGACGCAATTCTTGTTAAAATTTAAATACTGATCAGCGTGTTACTACAATCATTTTGGAGCAAATATGAATAAACTACAAGGTGGTGGAACGAATTCATCCACCTATATAAGTTACATGTATGAGACAATAATCATCATGCATCAGGGACACAGCATACATTTGAATAACACCATTATGGCCTAATTATCCTTTATCAAGTCTTAAGAATATAACATAAAATGAATGTCACTTAAATTTCAAGGCCATATTAGTCATGGATCTTAGAATATTCCCGTAGACACGTCTTCCGCCCCGAGGTTTGAGACCTGGAACGGCTCGAGAGACCCCTCAGAAACAAATTTGGCTTGGGTAGACTTTCTGAATATGGGACAGTTTTGGGCAATTGACCACGCCCTTTTTTGGCGCTTTCGCGATATCTAAACCCACATATCACAACCTCTGATTGGAGAAAAGAGATCAACTTGGGTATGAAAATGGTCATAATCAACATATTTCAAAGTCCTTACACTTAAGTTTGATGAGTTATATGACCACACCCTTTTGCGGTCTCACGAGTAACAATTATCACACTTATTTCAGGATATCTCAGCTTCTAATTAAAACGCTCATCTTGGCATTAAAATGGTCAGAATCATTACATTGAGTGGGGTAGAGAATGGTTTTAAAGTCTACAGACTTCAGGTTGTTGAGTTAATAGGTCAGACTTCATTTTATACGCTTGTATACAAGCACCATATACATTGTACAAGCACTATCTACAAGCAATAAGTACAAACATAAAACTTATAGAGAAAGTTCTGACTTTGGCACTTTAAAATTACCCGATTCCTCTATCAATAGCCTAATTGTTCAAGCAACAATATCACCTATGGGTAAGATAAATACACGTTAAGGCATCACGCTTATAGTTATACTTTATTATTATATTTTGAAGGTGATCTATGTCCATACACTGCACTATTACAGACAATTTAAGGACAATGGAGTTGAAATGATATGGATACGGATAGCTAGTGGTGCTAAGAGTAGGTTAATATCAATATATCACCTATATAATAACAGGATGCCCCGACCATTGGTAAAATTTTTACTTGCAGCCCATATTGCCACAGGATGTGACACTGCGTCAAGAGTAGGTACCAAATTTGCGTCATTGAATGCTATTCCTGAAATGTACCTTGAAGGCTTTGGTAAAGGAGAACTCGATGAAGCAGAGGTCAAGAAATGCGAGGAATACTTGGGGAAAGTTTTCAAGCTTACAAGAGACATTTGACATGTTAAGAGCCTATAATCAATATAGAAATAATGATTCTATGTTTGACTTGCCACCAACATCGCACTCTATTGTACACATCCCCAGTGCAAAGGGCACTATCTCGTAAAGGACCAGTACAATATCCTAAATAGAAACAGCGTACCCCTAGATCCTTGTGGTTTTCAATGGGTACTAGAAAATGAAGAACTTTTTCCGGTAAAACATCTTCATCCTCTTCCTGGAGAATAGAACTAACGGTTACATGTTCATGTTACAAGAACAAAGATATCGACAAAATTGTGGTGGCAGATGCAAATGCTCAAAGAAAGGTGTGCTTTGCAATGCTTATTGTGTCTGTCAAAAGATTTGTTGCAACATGGACAAAGATAGAGGCCCACCTAAGAGAAAGCAGTCATTGACATCTTTAAGAAATAAACGTAGAAAGTCTAACAAAGAGTAACAAAGAGTAAATTCCTAAATTTCCTAAGGTATTGATCAATCATATGAATGAAACAATTTTAATTTTCTTGAATATATAGGTCACACAATAAATATATAGGTCACACAATAAATATATAGGTCACAAACAAACAAAAGACAGACACAATGAGTTAAGATACCCCATGATTTAAGTGTGTATGTACTATGTTTAATAAAAGAGAGTTATAGGAAAGTAATGTGAACTATACAGTATACATCTTGACGACATGCCAAGTGACCGAAGTAGTGACAACTAGAAAATAAGTGAAAAAAAGTCTCCAGATGCTTCTGTCGCGTTAGGTGGAAAGGGGTCAGGCAAGTAGATTAGTGATTTTTCTTTTGCATTCGCGGCCAAGAAAAATCACTTGCTACTGCAAAAAATAGGGTTTGACCTAATAACTCAACAACCTGAAGTCTGTAGACTTTAAAACCACTCTCTACCCCACTCAATGTGATGATTCTGACCATTTCAACACCCAATAAGAGCGTTTAGCTCCAATTAGAAGCTGAGATATTCTGAAATAAGTGTGATAATTGTTACTCGTGAGACCGCAAAAGGGTGTGGTCATATAACTCATCAAACTTAAGTGTGAGGACTTTGAAATATGTTGATTATGACCATTTCCATACCCAAGTTGATCTCTTTTCTCCAATCGGAAGTTAACATTATATGTGGGTTTAGATATCGTGAAAGCGCCAAAAAGGGCGTGGTCAATTGCGAAAAACTGCCCCGTATTCAGAAAGTCTACCCAAGCAAAATTTGTTTCTGAGGGGTCCCTTGAGCCGTTCCAGGTCTCAAACCTCGGGGCGGAAGACGTGTCTACGGGAATATTCGCAGATCCTTGATTATAACACTAAATCGCTGGCAAGTCCCACGTGCAATGTTCAGTTGTTTTAGAATCTGGATTGTTATGACGTAGGCATTAACTTGACGTGATGAGTGTCATGTGAATGCTACGTTGTACCTTGCAATCATGTCACAGAATATGACATGTAAGACGGGCTCCATAGGGAAATAGCATCAGTGATGGTCCACACTTCCCGATCTTTCAAGTATACTAGCTACGAGGAGTTTCGAGATCATGGGATGTTTTCAACAGAAGCTAACTGCATGCAGTTCGTCGAACTTGGCGGTTGGCTGCATCCAGGATTTTTAGCTCCGTGATGGGTCGTTTCTGTAACCAGGTTCTGCCAGATATCTTGACAGTCTTCAAGATCTCTGGAAGCTGGAACAGATTGATTGATTTGAAGGGAGATGTAGAGGATAGTTGAACGATAGCTGCAGTAGGTAGCTGTATCATGTAGTTAGCTTCTGTTGAAAACATCTCATGATCTCGTCGTAGCTGGTATACTTGAAAGATCGGGAAGTGCGAACCATCACTGATTACTAGTTCCCTAAGGAGCTCGTCTTATATTCCATCTTCTGTGACATGATGTCAAGGACCAAGGTACAAGTTACAACGTAGCACGGAAATGCCGCGACAGTGCCATTCGGATCCGGATGTATGACCGCCACTTGCAGTAATAAAGTAAAAAGACACAAAATCAAATCGCAAATTTAAAATGAACACGTAGTAACTAATATCACTATCACAACAGCATAGTTATAACTCATATCAATAATGCTAATAATAATATGAGGTGGTACCTATTTATTATTTAGTGTACTTTAGTCGCATTGTTCAGCACATGGAGTTCTGCGTCAGGACACTACAAACAGCCCTCTCCGTAACATACTGTTCACTTTTTGAAGATATTATAACTGTATAGTGTATACTAGTGTAACCTGTGCATACGGCCGGAATTTCACTATCGCAGTTGAAATGCAAAAGCCTATTATATTCGAAAACACGCATTACATTTTCTTAGTTAAAACTTTGCGAAAGTATGAACTCGTTCAGTCCAAACAGACTGCAATTTAATTTTGGGAGCCCCTCACATATCTATAAAAAGAAGATATATATATTTAAAAAATAATAATAGGAGTTATACGAGAATGCTGAGGATGGCACTTAACATAGACTGAAAAGAGCGGCAGACAAACGCCAAGGTATATATGGACACCTCATCAGAGCATCTGATAAGATAGCTGAACGGAGGATGAGACTCGCTGCGAGTCTCATCCTCCGTGAGTCACTCGCAGGTCATCTAGCCAGACATGAAGAACTTCTGAGACATCAACTTCTCTTCTGGGAACCCCTTCAAGGACATCGTCGAAGGGAAGACCACACCTCACATATATTGACATCCTAGTCGGAAGGACACGAGGCTTGACGAAAGCAAGGAGATTAACAAACTCATGCTGGATAGACAGATTTGGGAAAAAACTATCTCTGTTCGGACGTTGAAGCCGCCCTTAGTCTTGAAGTAAACCAGTTACCACCGACCGATTTAAAAAAACTTAATTATTTGGCTTCGTCAGAGTTTTGTCGGCATTATACCGAAAAAACCAGTCGCATATCTCTTACCGTTTTCTTGATTTAATTTAACCGTTCGGAAATTTCTCAAAGACAAACAGACACACAGACACATCCTTGGATTATTAGTATATAGATTATCATAATATAAATTATTTCGATGAAAGATTTGGGTGGAACACCTTAATATTATGTCTGGTTCATGTCTGCTATGACTACCTCCTCTCCAGAGACAGTGATAGTGATATCAGGGTTAGGAAAGGAAGAGCATGGGGAGCATGCCACACTCTCAAAAAACTTTGGAAATCTAATCTTAGAAAGTCTATCAAGACCAGCGTGTTCACAGCACTAGTCGAGTCGGTGCTTCTATACGGTTCCGAGACTTGGACTATGACGAAAAGGCTAGAGACGATGGTTGATGGTTGCTATACACGAATGTTAAGAATGGCCCTTTAAAACATCAATCAATATCAAGACCATGTCAGCAACCACAGCCTGTACTGTGATCTTCCCAAAGTCAGCTCCAAGATTACCCAACGAAGGCTCAGACTTGCAGGTCATGCTCACCGACATCCGGAGCTGACACTGAACAAACTGATCCTCTGGAAGCCGAGTCATGGACATACTAACAGGGGGCGACCTTACTTAACACTACTAGATAACCTAAAAGCAGATACTGGGCTGAAATCAGTAGATGAGATAGCTAGACTGATGGAGGACAGAAAGCTGTGGAGAACTGTTGTCAATGGATCTCGTGAATACTACCCGCCTCAAGTCAAGGAAGTCAAGTCAGTCTAGTAAAGTAGTAATGTGTCTTGCAGTTAACATTAAAATGAAGGCCAACCCAATAATGAAATATCAGGACATTGGCCTCTTTACTTTAACATGAAAATATCATCCTCTATTCCCTCCGAAGGTTGTAACATTTTGCTAAATTATTGTAAAGTTAGCAGGTAGGTCCTGTACCATAATCCATATTACTGATCATTTCTATTTACTGGTATTGTTATCACCCAGACATCTATGCAGACATTTACTTAATTTCTTCCAGAGGTCTTCCATGTGGTGATGAGAGCAATCAAATGTGGTCAGCACCTCTCACTTTATTATCGTTACGTTATTATTAACTCATTATATTTAAGTTATACTCATCTGCATTATTCCGTGCTGTGACCTTCTACTTGTTCGTTTTGTATAGTTGTATGTATAATTGAGTGTTTTAGATGCATAGTAGTACAGTGTGACGCTATAATTGTAGTTGGCTCTCTTATTTCTAATCATCGATTAGTTGTTTAAGATAATAATAACTAGCATCAGAATTTATGAATTGAAATTAAGACGTCTTCAGAATTAAGGGCCCATAATCTAATTCTGTCCAGCCCAAATGACTCACAGAAAGTTCAGTGACCATCTTGGGTCATTTCCACATAAGCATAATATTTTTTACGACAAAATTATATCAAATCAGGAAATGCTCGTTTGTATTATATTATTGATTTTGATGTTCCTGGAAATTTGCTTATTCTATAAATCCTGCAGGTGTGCCTCGGCTTATTCGGCGAGAATGGTTTTATTTAGCAGATGGCTGAAAAGTAAGGTTGTATGGGTCTTGCTACTTTTTGCTAGTTTCCATCTCATAATGATCTTGTCACAAACTGAGAATACTATAAGAAATTCAAGTGGAGCTGAGGACGACCAGCTTGCTGTCGACAGAAGAAATCGATTCAGTAACATTTTGAGTGACGTCACAGTAAAGGTTTTAGAAGCTGACGGTATATTAGGTAATAAAGCACCTTCAAGTAAGATCTACGAGAAAAAGAAACCCGTCATCGGTTTAGGAAGCATAAACACAAAAAGGATGAAAAAATCAGCGATGAAACAATTGCCTAGTTCTATACCAGGAAATTTAACAGAAAATAGAGTAAGAACGCAAGATATACCCTACAAATCATTTTTCTCTCAACCAAGGCCAATGAAAGTCATTGAAAACCTTCCTGAAAAGTACCAGAATATCGGGTTCTTAAAGAAGCAGCCAAGTTATGAGGAAATGAACGTGGAGGAAGCAATCCCACAAAGGACTTCATTCGGTGATCCGAACGAGATGAACTGTAATGATACTTTTTGTTACCTGAACGGGAGAACTCTGAAAAAAGAATTAATCACAGAAAATCCTAAAGACATGTTCACCTTTCTCCCACCTGAAGAAGAATTTCTGAAAGAATTTAAGAACCCCTGCTGGAAAGGAAATGATCTTCTTGACCGGGAGGCCATGTTTTGCTTACCTTACTTTTTCATCATCGGTTTCACAAAAGCTGGAACGACAGATCTATTTGGACTCCTCAAAAAACACGTCCTTATAAGCTCCCGAGCCAGGAAAGAAACACATTTCTTTGACAGGAGAAGTCGAGGAAGAGCAATGCCAATGCATCGAGCTCCCCATGGTTTGCCCAGATCATTCAGGTTCTACGCTAATAGAGGTTCGTATCGAGACTATCTGATGCCAACTTACCAAGAAGTTGAAGGAACGGATGTCCTGTTTCACGGAATTACTATGGACGCTACCCCCTCCTACGTATGGGACAACGAGTTTTGGGAAACGTTCCACCCCGGTTACAAAGAGCCACCAGTGACTACCGCAGACACTCTTGCAAAACTTAATCCTAAAACCAAATTTATATTCTCCTTGCGGGACCCGATCAATCGGATGCGATCAGCGTACCAGTTTTTCTGTAAGAGTTTGCAAACATACAAGTGCGACAGGCCCATTACACCGGAGAAATATCATAATTTGGTGGCGGAGGCGGTTGATAAGTTTAATAACTGCCTGAAAGAGAACACTTTGAGAGGATGCACTTATAGCACTAAAACCCACCAACTAGCGACCCATTTATATGCAAGTATCTACCATGTCTATATTCTCGACTACATGAAGGTTTTTCCCAAGAATCAGATCTATATACTCCAGATGGAGGAACGTACCCGGGACCCGATCACCACTATCAATAATCTCTGTGACTTCCTGGAGATACCACGATTTCCTGCGAGGATATTGAAGAAGATTTTTGAAGAGCGGGAAGGAATCGCAAGGAATCAGATAAGTGATGAATTGAAGATCCCCTATGTTCTGCCAGAGACAACTAAACTCCTTGAGAAGTTCTTCAGACCGTATCTCAGAGACCTAGTTGATCTGCTAGGTGACGAGAAGTGGTATTGGAGTCGTCCTCACTGACAGAAGAACTGATGTAGATCGGTCATTAGCACCTTTGACCGTTTAACCATATAAAATTCGAGCTAATCAAGTTTTATGTTTGCAGGGTTCTATGACATTTTAAACCACAAAGCTTTCAAGTGTGTAGTATTAAGGTATTAACGTTAGTAATATTTGATTCAATTGGAAAACTTACAAATTTTATTGGAGCGGTCTTGTGAACTAAACCTCTTTGAGGAGCATTCCCTAACAGCCAATAAAGCTGGCATACGATACAATAATATGATGTGACATAACGTATTCATATCATTATTTACACGAAACAAAACACTCGGAACACTGGCGAGCTAACTGGTTAGCTAACGAGGTTTTCTTTGTATATGGTAGCTTGCGACCGTGCGAGCGTGCGTGAATACGTGCCCGCCCACGTTCCTACCTGCGCAAAGTTATTTTGAGTGATAATCTGAATTACCTTACTCGGGATTATTATGACCGGGATAAAGTGGTGGGTTTAGGGTAATTTCGCCATATTTTTCCCGAACCACATTTTCACCGGTCGTTAATAAACCCGCCTACTCAGCTTTTAGGGTTCCCAAGGGGTATGGGTGCTCATATTTTAATCGTTGTCTTATATTCACTAAAGAAGACTATTGGGACACTTGTTGTAGGTTTTTCGACTTCATTTGGCTAAAATTGCAATAAATTCACCTTTTTGCCCAATTCTTGTCATATATCCTTATTGTCAAATTTGATTTAAATAGGCCATTTTTTTATTTCTTAGGTATTGACTATCTCTACATAATGAAATAGGACTCAAAGTAAAAGTAACAGTTAAATTAAAACTTGAATTAATTAAAACTGATGAAAGGGATGATCCAGATGAAGATAACGAAGATGATTACAACTTATTGGAAGACTAAACATCTCTCCCTTTATCTTAATATCGATCTGGTTGTTACACTTCAAATGTTAAAAATTATTTTCGGGAAGTTGGTCGTTTAGCTCCGGACAGTCTATGCAACGTCTATGCAACGTCCGTGCAACAACAAAAGAACCGTCTATGCAACGTCTATGCAACGTCCCTGCACAATGAACACTCTATGCACACTCCCTGCACGGTCAGTCTATGCAACGTCTATGCAACGTCTATGCAACGTCCCTGCACAGTACCATATGAACACCGGCTACTAGCCGGCTACTAGCCGGCTAGTAGCCACTTTTGTAATAACAGATCCTCAACTTCACATTAACAACCGGCTACTAACCGGCACTTGAAAAGTGGTCACTAGCCGGCTACTAACCGGCTACTAGCCGGCTAGTGACCACAAAGTAGCTACTAACCGGCTACTAAGCGGTCACTAGCCGGCTATTAGCCGAGCTCTAAAGCAGACCTATTAGTAAGTGCCGGCTACTAGTAGGTCTGCTTTAGAGCTCGGCTAATAGCCGGCTAGTGACCGCTTAGTAGCCGGTTAGTAGCCACTTTGTGGTCACTAGCCGGCTAGTAGCCGGTTAGTAGCCGGCTAGTGACCACTTTTCAAGTGCCGGTTAGTAGCCGGTTGGTAATGTGAAGTTGAGGAGCTGTTATTACAAAAGTGGCTACTAGCCGGCTAGTAGCCGGTGTTCATATGGTACTGTGCAGGGACGTTGCATAGACGTTGCATAGACGTTGCATAGACTGACCGTGCAGGGAGTGTGCATAGAGTGTTCATTGTGCAGGGACGTTGCATAGACGTTGCATAGACGGTTCTTTTGTTGTTGCATGGACGTTGCATAGACGTTGCATAGACTGTCCGGAGCTAAACGACCAAGTTGCCTTATTTTCCATCTAGTTTGATTAACCACGAGTCATTATTTCTGTCTACTTTCAACAATTATTGATAATTCGACTTGTTTCACAAGTTTTAGCAATGCGAAAATTTCTAAACTTGCTTATCTCTAATAAGGAAATTTACATCTGAGACAAAATTTTTGAATCTAAAATTGAAAGGTTGGACACCGGTAAAATGGCGACCGGGAAAATGTGGTGGGTTTTGAGCAATTTCGCCATATTTTCCCCGAACCATATTTTAACCGGTCGTTAATAAACCCGTCGTAATAATCCCGAGTAAGGTATATAATTGTTGGCGCGCGACGCTGAACCAACCAAGTACACTATTAATTTCATCATGTACGTATCCCACTAGGCACTAATTGATAGCATATTATTATTATTTTGAGTTAGAAGTACTATCTTGCACAGATCCGTGTCAGGTTGCATAACCAATAAAAATATGGTTACATATGTTCAAATTCAATATAGAATTATATTAACTGGGCGGCGCTCGGCAGTCGGCATGTCACTTCGCCATATTTGCATGTTTATATAAACAGTAAAGACTGGGCCGTCCCCAGGTTGTATGGAATATGATAAATACGCCATCACGGATCGGGAAATTGAGCGGCCATCCACAAAAGAAAAGCGGCCGCATTTCTTGTTACATTAGACTATCAGCTAATTGGATAATTGCCAATTAGTTAATTACCAAACATTTTTATTGGCTTAAAACTTTAAAATGATTAAAATCGTTTGAAACACGGAGAAATGTAGTTTTTAGAAAAACTTCAAAACTTTTTCGCTTACAAATTTGTTTCGAGATGTGGATAAAAATGCTTTGCAGAAAAACTTCGAACATTTTCAGATTGGGGAATACTAAAATCATCAATATTTGAAGTTGAAGTTCAGTAGATCTCGGCATATTTTAATAATTAGGAATAGCTTAGCGGAAAGGGCTGAACCTGAAAAAGGTTAATCACACAATATTAGAGTTTCATAACTAATTACAATACAGCTTTATCAAATTCCACATAAAGAAACAGCACAAAAGGACCATTTAAGATCGAATCGATTTTACCTGATGTACTATCATTTTATTGATTTTAATGATCAAAACCTCTCTGTACCGTCAATCTTGCCAATCTATACCGGGTATCTGAATGTACCGGACCTCTACTTTGCCTTTATAATTAGACCCAGTTGTGCAAGAAATACGATTTCTCACGGGGGTTTCTTTTAACTGTGCACTTTTTGTCACTCTCGCAAGAGGCCCGGTATTATAGGGGGTACTAGTGTAAACCGGCCTACGGCCGGGATTTCACTGCCGCAGTTAAAAAGGGTAGGAGTAATTACCCGCTAAGTCAAAACCCGCATTAGGTGACCCAATAGTTTCTTAAACAATAATCTCATAATCAGTTATTTCTTGTGGATAATTAAGTCATTATTAGCCATGAGGCACCACACTCCATGATCATAAGGTCTGAACACCGAGTATTACACCTCATCACTCCCGTCTTGAACCGCTTTCTATTTTTATTTAAATCGTTATAGAAATTAACCCTTGTTAACTCCGCACCACACCCGCATATTATATTTGAAAACACGCATACCATTGTCGTATGAACTCTCTCTCTCTCTCTCTCTCTCTCTCTCTCTCTCTCTCTCTCTCTGCAGTCCAAACAGACCCCAAACACTAACAGTCCCCCCTCCCCTAATAAGCTTAAGGTATAACATTAAAGCGAATCTTCCGGGCTAATCCAATTATGACGCTACTTAAATGCAGCTATAACATATAACACAGTAATGAGAGAGAGAGAGCAAGCCCCGTTACTCTTGCCGTTCTGCTCAAGCAATTTTATGTAACATTTGTGGTACAAAACCATCAATTAAACCACTTACCACCGGCCGATTTAAAAAAAAATTTCCTATGGGCTTCATCAGAGTTTTGTCGACACTATACCGAAAAAATCAGTCCCGTAACTCTTACCGTTTTTTTTGTATAACCGACCGGAAATTACTGATATCTGGATATTATCCGGTTGGAAGAGACAAGGACAAGTGAAACAAGGAAGTTAGGAGTAAGGGCAAATTTTCGGCGTCAACGCCATCTTCAGGCTAAAATTGTTATAAATGTTAGTATATAATAAATGCTTCTATACTAGTTAAAATGCTAAATTAAAATTACACACACTGAATACAGGTTACATCAAATGGTATTGTACATTACAGTGAATGGTATTGTACATTACAGTGAATGTAATGTACAATACCATTTGATGTAACCTGTATTCAGTGTGTGTAATTTTAATTTAGCATTTTAACTAGTATAGAAGCATTTATTATATACTAACATTTATAACAATTTTAGCCTGAAGATGGCGTTGACGCCGAAAATTTGCCCTTACTCCTAACTTCCTTGTTTCACTTGTCCTTGTCTCTTCCAACCGGATAATATCCAGATATCAGTATTTCAATCATGAGACTAATAAACAGCGAACTACTCCGTTATTTGACCGGAAATTACACACGGACAGACAGACAGACACACAGACACACAGACACACACACATTCTGGTGTTATTAAGGTGATAGGAAGCAAGTGTAAATATACCTTCCATCATCCACTGTGGCTATTTTGTGTTTTTTCTGGGAAATTATCTATTGGGTCTACTTGTTTCCCTGGAAACCGGCATATATTTGCTTACCAAGTCTGCTATTTTTCGCGCATTGAGCCGCGCACACGTGGTTTATTAACAAATCATTACAGTACATGTACTATCGTATTCCGGCTCCGTATTATTTAATTTCGATCAAAGTTTGTTTTCTTGATTTCTCAAATCCAATCCAGGTTAACACAGCGAAGATAAACTTACTAGAGGTTGCCGAAAATATCAAAGCTAGAAGGAGAGCCAACAAGCGTCTCTCCGAACAAATGGCAGAAAAGGTTAGTCAGCGACAGTTCTACTCCAGTCCATTGGAAAAGCCTTAATAAATTACTTAAAGAGTTTAAATTCGACGATATTTCCTATTTTTTCAATGATTTAATTGCAAGGTTTAATAGAATATTCATTCAACCAATATTTATTTAATTGATGAAGTCTCTAATCAAAACATATTCCTAGCACTTATACGTGGTAAGATATCTGTTTGTCATAACAATAATGTTATAACCAGTTGTCCGTGTAGAATAAAGCCAATTGCCGCACTGTTAGTAATGTGAAGCTATTTTTCCTCCTTGGATCCAACTTATATTATCCCTTCATCTTATATCCTGCTTTTCCTTAAATCCCACTTTTCCTCATATCCCGCTTTTCCTTATATCCCGCTTTTCCTTATATCCCGCTTTTCCTTATATCCCGCTTTTCCTTATATCCCCTTTTTCCTCCACCTACACCTTTCGCAACGTTCTTCGGTAAGCTGAGTTATGTTTCCTTCTTAGAAAACAGAATTAGAAAACCGAGACAAGAAGCAGCAAAGAACTCTCAGATTTGATAAAAGCATGTTACGTGAGGCACTGCAAACCACCGTCAAGATGGAGCGAGAAATTATAGATTTTAAAAAAGAGCTAACCGTCAGGTATGAATTTCTTTGAATCAGACCCGGAGTAATTTCTTTTTTAGAAAACAGAATTGGAAAACCGAGACAAGAAAAAACAGAGAACTCTGAGATTTGATAAGAGCATGCTGCGTGAGGCACTGCAAAGCTTCGTCAAAATGGAGCGGGAAATTTTGGATTTTAAGAAGGAACTGACCGTCAGGTATGGATTTCTTTCTGTTCATTTTAAGAGTCACATTAGTTCCAGCCAGTGCCAGAGATTCTCATGTTGGATTTTATTCTTAATTTTACCGTTTTATATTGTCCGCTCTATGGCGTGAAAAGTTAAAATTTCACAGAACATAAAGTTAAAGTATTAAGCATAAGCCTTCAATATGCTAAAAAACAGCATAATGTACACTTGACCCATGTTCAGTATCAAGAAAGCACGAGATGACGAGAAGGCCACAAGCAGAGCACAAGCAGAACTGAAACATCTCGACCAGCAACTACAGGTCAGACATCACAACATCTCTCAGTTGTACATTCATTTTTAAATTGAGTAAAGTAACTGCTGACTGCAGGGGAGGGGAGGGGCGTTGGTGTGGTCAAATGGGCGTCGGCATAAACACAGCTAAAACTTGAGTTATGCTATAATGATGAAAATAACATCACCGTCGTGTTCGCTCACTGTCCTCTAATTAGTAAGTACGGCTATATTTCTGCAAAATAGATTATGTATCAGGAATTATGGTAATCAGCAAACGTACATTCAATCGGTCACCAGGTAGTGGTAGAGGAGGTGCAAAAACTGGCGGAGTTGAACGCGAAGCTCTCGTTAGAAGCACACCGTACAGAGGAAGATATCGTGAACACGGAGACTGCTCTACGTAACAACCTCACCATGTTGCGCAAGACATTGCAGGACGAGATCCAGGCCAAAACTTCACTTTCCAACAAAATGGAGAGCGAAGCGGAGGACTTTGAGAAGTACCAGGGGGATTCCTCAAGAAAATTGACTAGGGTAGGTGGATTTTAGAAGTTTCGTCGAACGAAAATTCTTTATTTCAATTTGAGCGCTAGTTTGTAGTTTTATGAACTGATCCTAAGTCAATAAAATTTCCTGCAGACTCAAAAGAAAAAGAACGACCTGGAAGCGATACACCAGAAGTATTCTAACAAGAAAGATGATTTGAGTAACAAACTGACTGGTATACACACGGATCGAGATAAGCTGCAGGCAGAGATAGATCACACTGCTACAACTTTCAAGGCGGAGAAGGAGGACCTTGAGAAACAAATCACTCTGCTCAAACCGGAGGAAAAACAGGTACTATATACAATATTACATAACCTTCAATCTAATTATTTGAGAAATTCACAATTTACCAATTTTTCGGGCTTAAATTCTTTGACCACAATTTATTCAATCTATTCATAACAGACCTTTTAAAACTACCCCTGTTTCTACCTCTCGCTTTATTTCTGTGAGCAGATGTTCCACTCAGACTCGCTGTAGTATTGAACTCAAATTGATTCATAAAATATATTTATGAAATAGAATAGCTGTAAAATAAGTTCGTGACGGCTGGGAACACAAATGTGTGACAACTCACAACAAGTCATTGGCCTTCACATCTGTGTCACTTCCAGCTATAAAAGTTTCCGTTATTAGGTTCGTGAGGAAAGTGAGGAGACCCAGAAAGCTATAAACGACCTGCAGTGGCGTAACGATCTCGTCAGCAAAAAGATACAGGAGTGTTTAGATGCCACTAGAGTCGTAATGAAGATTCAGAAACAAACTGACGATCAAATCGCAGATTTGGGGTAACTTTTTTTAACGTCTAAATTAACTTGCAGGAACACGCATATAGTTTGAGCGGATTTGATTGAAAATAAATTCATGGTTTCGAATTATATTACACAATCTACGTAACGATTAAAAAATGTCCAATTATTCCAGTAAAAAGATCGAAAACTTTGAGAATGATTTGACTGCGGGTCAAGAGACAGAGAAACAGTTGCAGTCCAACCTGAACCACATCAGAGATAACCAACTTCTCCTACGAAACCAACATAAGGCTCGACTCGACAAACGGGTCACAATTTTCAACGAACTAAAGGTAAAACAAAAATTTCAGAGTAACAAAAATCACACATCAAAAATGTTTATTTCCTTTTCACTATGATCAGATACATCGGACAACGGTTCCCAATGTTCGTCCTCATCTCCCAAGTTCATTTTTGATCCTTCTATCGTAGACAATCTGGGCTCCCGAGAAGTGTAAAGTTTCAGGAGGGTGGGGCTGTTCGTCATCGTATCCTGCTGCCAGCTGGACCTCGGACCCCCGGTAATACTGTCCCTGGAAACGTCCCAACTGTCTCTTTTCATACCATTACTGTACTGTTTCATGAACCCCATATTACGTGGTTCTTGTGCTGGAGCCGGGCTGTTTGTTGCCATGCTCATCCTGGATCTAGCTAATTCAAGCTTTGGGGTTATCGCCAGGGAGAATCTCTTACGAATCTGGTTGAAACTGAACCGTTGGTCCGTCATCTTGAAGTGGAGGAGTTTCTTCGGGATACGATTGTGTATCTTGATACTATCCCGGAGACGCCATGTGACGGCTAAAGCGATTCCCGCTAAAATGAAAATTAGTGTTAGGACTATCAGGTTTATTTTCCAGCCTACTACATGAACATGTGCTGTCTCACTCGTCGTGCCATTTGCAGTTGCTTCAGATCTAATCGACGTGTCCTTTCCAATTGTTTCGCTCTCGTCGCTGGAGTTTGTTTTTGTTACTTGGGATGAGTTGTTGTTACAGCCAGCATAGGAAACAAATGCAAGAAAAAACAGTAAAACTAGAATTACATTGCAAACCATGATCTTCAAACAAATTGCCGCCACCGAAAGTAATTGTAAGGTCGTTAGAAATGTTTGCGATCTGTAATAGTTTTTTATAGGTTGCTCCTTCGTAAAATTTGTCAAGGTAACAAATCTATAATTGTTTTTGACCTCATTTTACATTTATTCGAAACTCACAGTGTACCATATTTATCAGGAGACTGTGGCAGAACTGATCGGAGAGAATCAGAGGAACTCAGAAGCGTACACGGTGATGCAGAAGAGGCATCTCAAAGTAAAGGGCCAGTATCAGAGAATTCTAGACAGCAAACTCGGACTGGAGATCAGCGTTAACGAGATAACAAAGGTTAGAAGTAATAGATTTCGTGTTTTAAGTTGCTTGATCAAAATACAGATTTGATTTGATTTTTACAAACTCACGTTAAAAAATGCAGAAACCATAAAACAAGGCAAATAATTTGCGATCTTCCTTAAAAAGATGGAAGACTCGATCTAAAAATATGCTATGATTCATTGGTCTTCAATTGATCTAGAATTAAATTAAAATCTTAAGAAAAAACAAATCTCCATAACCTAGCTTACTAGCAAGCACCATTCAGCAAAGATTTTTTAAAACAGCTTGCTATCGTATATTATCAAGCCTCCTATGAGAGGTAGGAGTAGAAAGAGGAAACTGTCTAAGAGAGGAGGGAGTGTCGGGACAGGGTAGTCCTCCTCTCAATCTCGCAGTGTTCCCTAAATGTACACACATAGACGTGGGTGTGGTTGGGATGATCACCGTCTCACCTATTCGTGGAGTCAGGTTCCTTTCAAAACCTCCCATCCCTCCCCCTCCACAGCCATTTAACCTCGTTTTGCCTCGCAGCTTCATCGAGATCCTCAATCTTTTATTTGGGGCCGCGGTGGGTGCCATGCTCAACATGTTCTTATCAATCGTTATAGACCCTTTGCTCAATATTTTCAGAACCAGACTTTTAATGGAGGTTCTCAGAGAATGCATCCTGATCATATAGAGAACTGGATTTACTGCAGCGTTCAGAATAATGGTATAATAGTAAAGGAAATTCAGTAAATAACCAGTTGGATCTAAATTGTTTGCCTTATCAACCAATTTAAAGTTGTTGAGGATCCTGCTTCCCAAATTGAAGATAATGTAGACCACGGTAAAAAGAACTATGGTGACAGAAGCGTATCGTTTCGTATCCCGTTGCAAATCATGCAGTTGATCAGCATCCCTCATCAAAATAAAAACCGACACAATGCAACTCAGGATGATTGGAAAGATTGGTATGGAATATATAATCTCATTCAGAATGTCGCTAGGTTTCTCAAACTTGTTCGATGGCGCGTTAATATTCTCACAGTTACCAAAACCAGCAGAATACTGGAACTCCCCTCCCACCTCCCAGTATGGCATGGAAACTACAACACACTGCAGAAGGAAATGAACACCAACAGTCACGAGGACAACCTCCATCTTTAGGCGTCTGAAGGGTAGGAGGAGTACAAACGTCCGGCTTATACTCAACACAGCCACATAGAAGATACTGAGAGAGGAAAGTAGCCGCTGAACCACACCCCAAATGTTACAATAAACCCCACTCCTAAACATGATATCGTCTCTGAGCGCCATGTAGGTGATAGCCACTGGGAAACAGTTGACACAGGTGAGACAGTCCACCGCGCTGATACACGTGTAGACTATAGAGGAGACGCTGCGCCGTTGTGCTAGGAAGCACCAGAAGGCGAATATGTTAGCGGGGACTCCTATGAAGAAGCAGAGGAAACAGATGGCACCAAAGAGATAGTCTACAGATGGTATTACGTAGGGTGGGTAATCTGTTGTGAGGTTGCTACTAACATTTTCCATCCTGAAGATTAATGTGGGGTTACGGTTTGGTGGTAGCGTGGAAAATAAAAAATAAAACCTTGTGTTCATTTCCTGACGAGAAAAACGGAAACTTGACAACCATTTTAAATCATTAAAAATTTCATGATGATAACCATGTGCCAAATATCTGAAATAATACTCATGAAACAAGTAACATATACTGTTGTCCTGACTTTCAACTGATTCTAAACAGTGGAACAGCTCTATTGATCGGGTCTGACAGATATTAAATGAAGCGATGAAAGCAAGTCTAGCATACCAATCTTGTTCGTCGACTGTAGTTATAAGAATTCCTACGTTACAAACACGGCGCGGACTCAATCTGGGATTATCTTCCTAATTTGACTTCCGAAAAGCACAAGGAATGAATGTCTAGTTCACTCTAGCAGTAAGCATAAATCGCAGGAAAGTCTACGCCGAAAATTCCTATCTGTTCACAGTTCTAAGTATTGTGCTAGTCGCTAACAACTTAACGAGAGTTTGAGAATATGAGACTCATGGAACACGTGTTTCCTGCTACTATTTCAACTATACACCGAATTTATATAAGTTCACAAAGCTTCATTTCAGCTGTGCAGATAAAAATAGCTATCAAACTAAAGAACTATAAACACAAATTACAAATTGCGCTCAAAGCACATCCTGAAGAGGGTGAGCTTATTGAAGTGTTACAGCTCCGAACATATCCCAAATATCCTCCCACTGCTCTGAGGATTTAGTTTCCAGCAGTTATAAGTACTAAGGTTTGTTAAAATTACAATCTATTAGAATAATAGAATAACTGGCCAGGCGCACAGCCGCAAATTGGAGCTTAATAAAGTGCGCGTGTACCTGGTGACTTCATTGTTACAGGTGATGGGATGCTAGCTTTGATTTGTCATGACTCTGGAGTCTGATTATTATGGAGAGAATACCTTACAGTTACACGTATTACCTCTAACTGACTGGTCTGTGAATCTCGAAGCGTTTCACGAGCCTAGACCGCAGAAATATCAACATTGGATTTTACTAGTTGCAGAACATTGAGATATTTTAATATAGCATGCTCTACTGCACAATAGTCAGCAACGCTATGCTCTACCTCTACTTTTACCATAATAAATAAATTCATATCAAATGTAGTGAATCGCAGATCTTCACAATTTCGATTTCACATTAACACTTAACTTTGGCATTATAGTACGGCGGTTGCTGGTCATGCATCAGGAAATATAGGCTACAGCATTAACAGAACTGGAAACTTTTAATTAAAAAGACAAGACAATGGAAGTGGACAATGCTACTATCTTAATTGGAAGTAACCTCTTTAACCGTGAAGCTGGAAACCTTTGATTAGGTCATATGTCACCCGAGAGAATATTTATGGACCAGATCAGAGGTCGTGTCGGCGAAATGTCGATAACGGAGGACGAGGATAGTTGGTGGATAATTGTGGGCCTATTTAGGTTATTGAATGAGGCATACTATAATTCTTAACGGTCAATAAAATCATCCCACGGGATCACGTGAGTAAGTTTTAAAGTTAGAGGACGGTACCCTGTTTGGGGACAGTACTCTGTGGTAAATCTCGATAATCCTTTCAATTTGAGAAAGAGCCGACTATGTAGGAGGCATGCAATGACCAACATATCTGACTGAACCAGGGCACAAATCCTCCCGAACAATCCAATAATTTATCGACGATTATTAGAATGAACAATTATTTCTTTGTCACTCGAAGTGACCGGCTATTGACTTCTTATAATTTTCTAATATGGATTGAGTTTCGGTCCCGTTTCGGTTAATAACTTGTTAATGATGAAAAGATGCTGTCCAGATAAAACTGCTTTGATATCTCAAAAGACAGGTCCAACGTCAAATTAAAATATCAATCATTGTCGCTTTAATTACGACGATTCGTTTGGTGATTACATCTGCATCATCCAATATTGGCACGTCAATAGAAAGTGGCAACGATTAGGCATAACATTATAAGAACGAGCACTTAACCTTCCACTGATTCGAGACTTCGGAGGTGGAAACGGCTATCAAATAATATTGAAAAATCAAACTTATTTTATGCGTGCTGCACTATCTCAATCATTCTGTCTGGACAGTTTACACTTTTGAGCCAACAGTCTGTGAAGATGTCTCTTCTTCGTTAAAGGTAAGCACTAATCGTCACGTACATTCATTAAACTATTAAACAGAGGCGGAGTTTAAATATCGCCTTGTTATTGTTAGATGAGGTCGTAATATGTGGAAAATCAATATTACGAAATGCCGAAAATTTTAATTAGGGCTTGATGATAAAATAGAGGTGACAACTGTGACATTTATCATAAATGGATACATTGTTCGATCTCATTGAAAATGTGGCCCCTAATTTAGTAAGTTGATTGATGTTTAAGAGACTGATAATCGTATGAAGGCTCCACTTTGGTCATTTGTATTGATTTCCCAGATATTTCGACAATATTATGCTAAATATGCCCAGGTATTATGATAAATTTGAACAACGAAGCAGTCGGCTTGTGGCACACTTTTAGTCTCCTGTGTATTGTAAGTAAATTGTTGCTCCATATTTATGCATAAGTTATCGGTTATAATTGTATTGTATTAGATGCCATCGAGGAGTAGGTGGTATGAAAAAACATATGAATGCAACCTGCAATCCGAAGGTGATTGCAGCCCTTACGGAAGACTTAACTATTAGGTCTTCATTTTCCTACAATAAATGATACATAGCGATAACATCTAAACCCCAGAAGTTTCCAGCATCTTTAGGAATCTTTACAATCACTGAGCCTGGTGTCACAAGGCCATGAAGAAAGCTGAGACTGTCGTAAAATGTTATAGAAATGTCATAGAAATGAATTGAGTTTGAGTGAGGTGGATGGTGATTAAAAAGATACCACTCTTAAGGAAGTTCGATTAACTCGCTAAGTATAGGCCACGTGGCAGGCGATCAGCTGCAAGATGAACACATAAGCAGGAGGTCTGAATCTCTGCTTAATATTTGTTTTATTCTGAATATTTGTTTTATTCTACCACAGTAAGAAAGTGTGAACTGGGGGATGAAACAAGGATTGTCCGTGAGTAAGCTGAAAGTGAGCTGATTCTTAGAACCAGCGGTTCTAGAAGATCTTCTTCATCAATTTGCTGAACGGAAAAAAGATCTATAAAATAATTTACACAATCAAAAAGAATGAAATAGATGCAGAGAAAAGATGACGCCACGAAAGGACGCTGTAGAATCGAGTACCTCTAAAGATGACACAGTGTCGCTCACTCGTTGGAGAACGTAACTTCATAAAAAAAACCAACAAAATGTGCTAAAAATGACAGACTTCGTACGTCTGACTGAGTGTCATAAACATGCGCTGATCAGGTGATGGAGTACCCTCTGGAGTCCACCTCAAGAGTAGAAGGTATTGTAGTAAAGCTTTTAAGTTGTATTACTTGTGTTTTAAGGT